GGAACCACCCTTCTGCTTCCACTCACAGCCACCTGGACCATGTCCACTGCTGCTGACTCAGACAAGCATCCCATCCTTCTCCTAACAAATGAGGACCCTGCTACATGTATGAGGCTGAAGTTGGTTCCTTATTCCCCGTTCCTTATTCCCGGTTCCTGGTTCCTTTTTCAAAACTAATCTAGACCCAGTAAAAACTTGTTATTAATGAATTCCACAACCTTAAGAAAGAGAATTTCATTAGCTATGTATACATACTAATTAATATGTAAAATAATATTCCACATCAAGTACAGAGCCCTAAGTGAAGATCAGATTAGGATGGGATTATGGGGCAAAATACTTCTTGGGCCACCCCAGATTTCACTGCAATGCCACTGGGGAACTGTCCCAAAGAACCCTGACCACAGTCCTGCTTGGCCCAAAGCATGGTTTGGCCGTGCCAGGCTGCCAACTAACAGCCCCCATGCCCACTGTACTAAGTATAATGGCTTGAATAAGGAACTATCTTTCAGGCTGGGATCATGGCTAGAAATTCTGCTTGGCCCACCCATCATAATACTCTGTGCCACCAGGGGACTGTCCTGGACATCTGTGACCAGAGACCTACCCGGCCCAAACTGCGGTTTGGCCGTGCCAGGCTGACAACAGACAGTACCCCAGCCACTGTGCTAAATACATGGAACTGAATAAGGAACTGGATTTTGGACTGGGATTATACCAGGAAATCCTTCTTAGGCCACCCCAGATCATGTCTCTGTGCCACCAGGGGATTGTCCTGTACATCTCTGACCAGAGACTTGCCCAGCCCAAAACACAGTTTAGCCACGCCAGCGTGCCAAAGACAGCACCTCGGCCACTGTGCTAGATTAATGGACCTGAATAAGGAATTGGATTTTGGGCAGGGATTATACCCAGACATTAGGGCTATGTGAGTCAGTAGTGATCCGACCTGGCTTCGGATCCAGTCACTTCGGACGGCTGTGATCTGATCCAGAGCTCTAGACTGGGTTTCCGCCTCGATCCGGCCGAAGTGGCTCTGAAGCCTCAGAGCCACCTCAGAGATCCGGCTATAGGGTGTAACTGCAGGGGTGGTAGCTCTTACTGAGGCCACAAAGCCTGCAAAGTTTCAAGAAGATTGGTGCAGGGGTTGGGTGGGGAACTGCACCCCAAATCCTTGAAGGCAAAGCTCCTGTCATGTCTACGTGTTACAACACAGGGGGCTGAAAACTGCAGGGATGAGGCCACAAAGTCTGCCAGGTTTCAAGAAGATCAGTGCAGGGGTTGGAGGAAACTGCACCTCAAGATGCTGACAGGCAAAACTCATGACACAAATGACCCTGTGTGTGTTAAGGTGCAGTGGGCTGAAAACTGCAGGGGTGGTAGCTCTTTTCAGAGCTGGGCCTATGAACTGTACTTCATCAGCCTCCTAGGGAGTAGATACAGAAACTCATGGACTCCACATACACAATGGAGTTCTGGCACACTGCGATCTGATACCCCAGGCACCTCTGTACTTTCGCCTGCACTGCTACATCCCCTTTTCCCCGCCACCTCGCACCCCAGCCTCTCCCTCCCCCTCGATGCCTCCATTTCCATTTTCACTGGCTGGCTTTCTTGCCTGC